TACATCTGAAATACTGTACCCCATTCAGCAAAGGACAACCAACGCAGCCAGGAGCTTGAGCACATGGTGTATGACAAGAGGTGGAGGGAATTCAGCTTTTTTAGTGGGGAGGAGGTTTGGAGGTGACTTGCTGGCAGCTTTCCAATAACTATGAAGTTATTAAGATGACACAGCCAGGCTCTTTACAGAGCTGCACAGTAAGAGGACAAAACACTGTGGTCATAAACTACAACATGGGATATCCCAGCTTTCCAGTGAGGAAAATAACCCCACCAAGGCAGTCCAGCATTAGAGCAGGGATCCAATCTTTTTCCTTGAAGAATTTCAAGATCCAACTGGATAAAGCTCTGAGCAGCCTGGTTTGAATTCAGTATTGACCTTGCATTGAGCAGGAAGTTTGAGTGGATCTCTCAAGGCCCCTTCCAACCTGAAAAGCTTTGTGAGGTGATATGAAAATAGGACTGTTAAGAAGTTCTCCATCTTCCTTCTAAAAAAAAGAAGCAGTTTTACCTTTTTCTCAAAAGACAGTTGCCTGTTAAGGTTGTGCAAACTTTAACAGGTAAGACGATCCATTTCAGTATATCTTTCTTCATCAAAGTACTTTCTGATGCTTAAGCCGAATCCTTGTCAATGTAACCTAGGCCCACTGATTCTTGTCTGATCCCTCATTAGCATAAAAAGATTAATTAATTCAGCTTGTGATTCCCTTATAATATTCAAATCCTCTCCTACAAAACCACCTAAGCTTGTAGCATCCCAACCTGTACTTCAGAAGCAACAATTGACTGCAGAAGCTAAAACCTTGCATTTATGATTCTCACTTGTATCATACGCTTTTCAGATAATTTCTTCAATTTCTCTACACTATTTTGAATTCTGATCCTTTGCTCCCATGTACTGCCACTTCCAACTCTGTGGTATTTGCATATTTAGTAAGCATACTCCTTATTTCATCATCCAGTCATTAATGAAACATGAAGTACTACAAAATGAAGGATGACCACAAGAAATTAAGCAGATTCATCCCTCCTCCTATTTAACCAAATTATTGACAGCCATTCTCCACCATTTTCTTTTTTAGTGTGGGTTTTCTAATTAGCTTTGTGTTTACTTTGCAGTAATTTCATCTAGAACTAATGACCTTAGGAGAATTTCAATTAAAAAAACAATTAAAATCTTCATGAAAATCTAAATATGGCATTAGATGCTTTCCCTCTACCCACTAGACTCATCTGTTTTCTGGAAGCAAATTAGAACTTTTAAAAATTGCTTATTCTGAACAAGTTCTCAGTCACTATAACCCACCTCCCTGTTGCAAATAATTGGATTTTTTTTTTCCTCTTCCAGCATTTTTCACAGGGAGAGAATGATTACTAGCTCCTCCTCCTCCCTCACCTTTTTTACAGGTGTAAAGTATGTTTTCCCTTTGACGGTATTCTGGAACCCATCTTTCCAATGACTATCACTAACATGTCTGATAAGGCTTCTCTAGACATCCCCAATGAAATGTATATAGTTCTAAATCCCTTGGAACTGATGACTACTTTATAAACTTCCCCCCCTATTTGGTTGTGACTCCTTTCACTTTTCCACAGGTATTGTTAGTGATTTGACACAGTTTACCGCCTTACCAGAGCTTGAGGGGGGTGAAAAAGACATTAAATGCCACGTTATTTTCTTGTGTTGTACGCCAGTTGGATTCCCCCAGTATAAAATCTTTAGTTTGCCCAATTACTACCAGTTTATTTATATAAAACTGTTTCTTGATACAATTGACAGTATTTGCTTGTTATATCTTAATTTGCATATTACCTTTCTAATTTTTCTATTTATCCATCTGTGTTATTCTGTTATGCTTTTCTATACTTCTGTTCTTCTACACTCGCTCTTGGTAATCTTAATTTCCCGTTCCTTCAATCTAGTGACTGAAGGCAATGAAGAATCCTTAATTTATCCAACCTGCCCTCTTAGTAAGTATCTTGTGGTTTTAATTTTAATTTACTGAAAAAGCTATCAATCTTCCGTACCTCTGTTTTCCCCATCAAACTTGCTTCTTGTGATAGTTTATCTAATAATATTAGTTTCTCTTGTTGTTCTTCCTCCTTCCTTTCCTAACGATGCTTAATAAGTGAATCCTATCATTACCAAATCAGTCTCAAATAAACTGCGTTCTATCTTCATATTCTCAACCAACTTCTTACTAAGATTCAGAACCAAATGTACACAAATCTGTCCTCTGGCAATCTGCTTTGTTAAACAAACAAAAAAAAAAATCACAAAGAGATTTCATGACGCTCCTGCACAGTTTGTGTCCATTTGGTTTCCTTTTCCAGCAGAGTTCTGGGCAACTGAAGTCTCTATTTTCAAGTTTTATAACTACTCATTCTTACCAATCTCACCTTCCATCTGAATAAAGAATAAGCAATTCTGAGGTGATGGCAGCATTCATTTGAAACTTGTCTATTTATTAGGAATTCTGGTAAACTTGAGGTATTTTTTTCAGGTAGCTGAAAGAAATGGCTAAGACCTAGCAGTGACATAGCCAATAGCTGTGCCTTTCATGCACCTCTTAAATTCATCCTGAAGACACATAGACAAATCAATAAATTTATAGAAAAGCAAAACATATACAATCATCAGGTTTGAACATTTCTGATTTTCGCAAATGCCTCCAGACATTTGTGTCTTGTAACCCCTTTCACTGAAAGTAGCATCCAAATGTTTCTGACATTCTGCTGGACTTGTGTTGCTTAATGACAGCTTCAATCTAGTGGCAACTCCAGCACCAAGCTCTGTGGCAGAATTCTGACAACACATTTTCCCACAGTTTCAGAAGTAACGTAAGTTTTTTAAAAGTGTTCCATCACATCAGTGAAAATCACACACATCCTCATAAGGAAAGGGTAATCTGCTTTCCTTCAGGAGTATAGCAACAATTTCTAAAAAATGCTGTGCATCCTGAAGCCACTAGTATTTAGCTTCATAATGAGTAACCTGGATAAACAGGACGTAGAAGGCCCCAAAGCACAACAGTTCTGACAAAGAGGTGAATACAGTAGTCATACAATAGTCACAAATATACTTAGCAATGAAAAATGAGAGCTAAAAAAAGCTGCTCCAATTTTAAAATTTAAAATTTACCAACAAAAGTAATACTAAGTCTAAAGACTCTGTATAAAATGCTTGAATTTGTTGTCACAGATAGCAAATTCGAATGTGTTAACTCATCCATTGTTCTGCTAATATGAGACTGTTTTCTATGGTACATTTAACATTCTACAATCCTGCAAATATGAGAATGTAATTCAGTTTTCACAACTACTCCTGCAAAATTATTTTACAATGTAAAACCTCACTGCTCATTTCAGAACCCATTAAGTATTTTGCCAGGAGTAAGGAAGATTCTATTCCTGGGTTTTTGTTAAACAATAAAACCAAAACTAAAATCACACAAAAATCCCCTAAAACAACAAAACACACCAATAACCTCCCTCCCTTTCCATTTCTGCCAGATTTAAGTTAAAAAAATAACAGGCTTTCAGCTGGTTTGGTTCCTGAAATTGCCTTCTAACTATGAACTAGATGAGATTAGACAGCACTGTCTTCTTGAATCTACAAACCAAAGCAATGGTGAAGTGTAAAATGACTAATGGTCACGTCCTGACACCAGCACAGAACTGAGCAGCACACTGTGCCATGGACACTTTCTTCAGTACTAAGATGGGTGACATAATCAGACTACTCTGACAATTAAATAGTAGCTATTTGCTGTAATACAAGTATTCAGAGTAAAAAAGCCTGCAGAATGAAGCACAGACTAATAAAGCAATCCCATTAGCAACTTGTCTTGCATTCTCTGAGCCATTACTGATTGAATTTTGTACTGAGTTATTTGTACTTCAAGGGAAACTGCTGTAATAGCACCAACCTCTCCTCGGTCCATGGCAGATAAGGAACAAACATTAAAAATTAGTACTGTAGAGTGATGTCTGTTAGTATTTCTTATGTAACACATTTTTTACTTCTTTCCACAAAATCCGCAGTTATATGGTGCAAACAATCCAAAACAGCAACAGCATATAGCTTGTTTACAAAACATGCCTTTGTTTTAAGGAGAAGTACATTTTTTCATATAAAAAAAAACACCTAGACACAGACCTATCACTCCCTAAACTTAGATAGCCGAAGGCTAAACATTTTAAAACAGTAAATTAAACGTTTACTACAAGTGAGTGAAACTGTAACAATATTTATGCAGAAAACCCACTATGTTCTTTGGAAAATATTAAGCTAAGAAGCTGCATTAAAGTAATGCTGGTTCGTCTTTCTGTTTTTTTTTTGTTTTGGTTTGTTTTTTTGTTTTTTTTCCTCCTGGTTGTTCTGTTTGTTTTTAAATACAGTAGCATCTCAGGAAAGGTCTGTATTCACTTTCCTCTGAACATCACATTCTGTTTCTCCCTTTGCAGTTACATTATGATTCCAAACAAAGTTAACTGTATTACATAATCCTACTAACAACAGAGAATCCAAATGCACCTAAATTGTGAATTGCACTAGTGGCTCTAGAGTTCATTAATGGCACAATTCACATTTCTGAAACAACTTTAACTTTACTGTGTACTAATATGAATGTACTAGTGACTAATAATGACAGAAGTTGGAACTCGCTGCAATGAAGCATTGTACTACTCTTTCTGAAAATCCTAACATTCCTGTTCAAACACACCACATATGTTTTCTAGGGGACACTGCCATACAACAGAGATGGCCCTAATGTTCAATGATTAGTCTTGCTCAAATTAGCTTATTCATTGGTCTCCCTCCTTCCTCCCATTCTTTTCTGTGAGCTCAAAAATCCTTGAAACAGAACAAAGATTATCTGCGTAACTTCTCGAAGCAGACTTTTCACTTAAGTATTCTTCATCTGCAGACTCCTGAAAGAGTCAACTAGTAGCTCTCATGGACTTCTTGGACTCACACAAACTGTTGATGGACTCCAGGCTTGAGAAGCTTTAATTAATGGAAAAAATAGGCTGATCAACACTAGATCCTACAACGGGAAGCAGTTTTATTTTTCCCAGCAAGTTACTAATTGTTGTTTGAAGTCACAGTCAAGAAACCCAAAAAAGCACGTCAATCCATAGCCTTTTTCATTTCATGTCAATAAAATTTGCCATGACATTTGCCTGGCTCTGCAAGGTATTACAGCAGGTGATCTCTGGAGCTTCCAAGATTTTGTATTATTTCCCACCTGACAGAATTCAACACTATGCTTGCAAAAGGCAGCAGCAAACCAGATTCTGTAATATAACATCTGCAGAATACATGCGGGAGCCAGATGTCTAGAAAACCCGATCTATAAAGAAAAACTGAAAGAAATGGGGTTCTTTAGCCTAAGGAAGAGAAGACTGAATGGGACTTAACAAGTCTCCAAGTACATAAAGGGCAGTGCAAACATGCAGGAGTAATCTGTTTCTCTGTGGATACGACAGGAAGATGTGAAGCTTAGCCTGCAGCAATAAATCTCTATGTGTAAGACCACAATTAACAGAACTTCTGAACTGTAAGAACAGTGACCTGAGCAAAAAGATCACCTGGGTAGGCTGTGGAGATTTTTAGAAACAGAGAACAAATTGCCAGAAATGACAGAGACAGCTGATCCTGACATTAAGCCGGAGAATGGACTGGATGACCGCTTAAGATTTTCCAGCCCTATTTTTCTTTAATTCTACAAACAAATGAAAAGAGATTATTGCTACTTCATTAAATGCTAGTATATTGATATTAGCAACAAAGACCAAAGTTTGAAAGGAGTCCAATTAGCTGTATATGACGGGCACATTTCTTAGAACTTCTTTAGCTGCTTCTGAAAAAACACATTTTTAAAAAGATGAAAATTGTAGGAAGAAACAACATTCAGAGTTACCTTTTCCAGTTTTCATACCATGTTACTTCGTAAATTGAAACTAAAATGTATATAAGCATGCTATTTCTGAAAGAAAGTTGGTTAATTCTTACTAAACTCAGGGTACTAGAGATACTGACTATTCTGGTGGTTAGGGTGTAAAGGAAAAAGACTTTTGGCTTATGACACTATTCTAATCAAGAAAATATGTAAGAGTAAAGAATAAAAACTTTTTCCCTTCTTTCTCTCCCAAAGTGAAAACGCAAAGGAATCTCACACAAATTTCTTACCATTTTATAAAGATCTGAAACACTGATCTGATCTGAATCCACAACCTCAAAGTCCTTCCGAGGAACTAAGTCTAGGCCCAAATGTCTGAAAAAGAGAAGGAAGGAACAATGATAAGTATAATATATTAGTGCGTTCATTATTATCTACTACGTGTGCTTACTCAAAGGCAAGGACACAAGAAATACTAAACTACTGAAGTCTTTTTGCAATTGTTAATCATAAAACAGATAATTCTTCTAAATAAAATCAAACTCAAATATCAAACAAACCCACTACGAACTTGTTACTTTTTGTTCACTGACTTTAGCAGAGCTATAGCAATGCTAGTTCAAGCTTTTGGCCAATATGTTGTTGCAGTATCCAGAACAAGTTAATTTCATACCCGGAAATGCAATAGGCAAATAAATTTAATACTCTGGTTTCTGCTGCAGTATTTGATTAGGCTCCTTCACAACGTAATGAAAAAGTCCCATTGGTAACCCTATTCAAAAGTGCAAATAGATACCGTGCCTAGGGAAACTGCTTTGAAATTTCTAGTGTTCACACAACTAAACCCTCAACTTTATCACTGTATAAATATAGGATTTTTAAATGCTAAACAATAACAGCAATATCAACAAGAATTTTAATCTGTAACACACATAGAAAAACCCCTTTAATTACTCTGAACTGAAATAATATTTTGGCTCAAATCAAACATACAAACTATTTTTAAAAAAAAAAGTGCAAAGAGGATGACTAGTTAAGAAATTCTATAGTAAAGAAGGAATTTCAGGTCACAGCTGCATGCAAGTAGTAGACAGAATAAGCTATTTTGCATCCAGACAAATAAATGAAGAACTACTAACAATTAAGTAGTGATTGTAGATTGTTGAATGAGACAACCTAGAAGCTGTTAAAACCCAACTTTTGCTCTGTAGATCTTCAGGTTCTGAGGCATAAAGAATTCCGAGCATTACAATAAAAAGCTATTCCTAACACACATATTAATAGTAAAATTAAAGAAACACATGAACGAAACATTTTCCTGCTTTCGTCTTATGTCACTCACATGTGTACACACACCCACCTCTAAAGTATATTCATAAAGGAATTTCTCCTCAACATACAGATAGTAACAAATGATTTTCTAATGACATTATCAAAACCACTTTCAAGTGCATTACAGTTACAAAGCACTATTAAAGTTTTACAGAAAAAACTGTCAAAGCTAATCATAGCCTGGTATGGTTGTATTCTCATTCAACTCTCTAGAGAAATGGGGTCAAACAGGGGTTGGACTCATTACTCAATACGTCAAAGGTATTATCTTCTACTTAATAATGTTTAATACAACTGCAGTAGCATCCCTGAGAAACTTATCTGCTATCTCATTCTCAGTTGAATCTCTTAACACCATGGATTTCCAGTCCACAAGATTTTCTCATTCTCTAATACTCCGTTAATCCTGCACCACACTTGCTCCCAGCAGACAAAGGTGTCTTTTGCTTTAGTATTAACATGCTGTCATTTATTGTGCAGGTGGAAGTTCAGGTTTATGCATTTAATTTGTATCAATTATTTTTCAGCAGCGAAGGACTGACAACATAATACTTGAAATGGCAATCTAGTCAGTGGCCCACTTTCACTCTCTATTATCAAATACTGTGGGAACAGAAGAGCACCAGCTGCCAAGCAGTATTTCTCCAAAACATAGCACGCATAAAAATTGGATAATGTACTCTTCTGTTTACTTGACAGATTCTCTCTCCACAATACTTTCTTTTACAAGCAAACTCATGTGCTTTTTTATTCGGCCTTAGTGTTGAACTGCCTTTCAAAAGTATTTCCCAAGTATGCCTACAAAATATCCCCAAGCCTATCAACTACCTCTTGACAGCATATGGCTGGGATAACTCCAGCTGACATGTAGACATTCCTCCTCTTCCACACAGAAGTCTTTGTAATTTTCCTTTTTTGGGGGTTGAAAAAAATCCACCATGCAAAATCTCTAGATACTTTTCTCTCAAGTAATATGAAGACAAGCCAATAGACAAAAATTCTAGGATTTTTAATACCGAAAGGGATGAACATACAACTGTACTTCAGGTTAAGTGGGCTTCTATAGAAAATCAACCTGGTTTTAAAGGTAATTTTGAAGAATGGTCTTAATTTCTAACACTTTCATTATTTATAATTCAAATGCTACACAATTTAGAATTCGTAAAACCACAATTCATAACAACTCTTCCTAGAAGAACCCTGCAGAAATGTATCATTTGACTAAAAAATGTCTTTAAGATGCACATCCAATCCTAAAGAACAGATTGGGTGAACTCATTACATCTCTAGAGCATGCAAGATCTCAACCCCTTTGCTCCAAAATAGCATACTTTACCTTTATTTTTTTAGCTTTAACTTTGCAGCCACTAATTTTCCTTGTATTCTTTCTCTCACTACATCAAAGCCTCACTTAATATCATTCATATTTCTCTTACACAAATACATTTATAAAGGTGGTGAAGGGAAAGGAAATGATCCTGACATCGATTCACATAAACTGCGTGCAAGCTTTAAAAAAGACTTTGAAGGAAATACAATAGAGAAATCCATGGAAAAATAAATATATGAGAAACATGTTTGTGAAAATTAGCTGTCCTAACACAACTTGATGCTTTTCTTTGACAGTATTAAGTTATTTCATATAGAAATAAGCTGCAGGGCCTGTCTTCTATAAAGAAATTAGGAAAGCACACATGTAATGCTACACAGGAAATTATTTCTTAAAATGAAGATGATGAGATGAAGGTAAGTAATCTTAGTAAGGAATTGATTAAAGGGAATGGCAGCAAATTCTTCTGAGCATGGAAGTATCAGACTACAGAGAGGTTACTAAGGTTTTCTTCAAAGACTGACATCCAAGAGACTTCCTTACAGTTTTAATCCCTATTCAATCATTAATACAGGTATATTCAGGAGAGCGGAAAAAATATTATATATTTAGACAGAAATGGCAACTATTCTTTCTGCAACCTTCTTAAAAGCATTTCATTATGGTTGCTTGAATTGTTCACTCCTATTTTGATCCTCTTTGACGCAACAATGACTACTACCATAGTAAGAACTTCTTTAATTCTCAAACTGATCTCCAGATATTATGACTTCACATGTACATTTAATACATAACTCCAAATGCATTTTATGAACTTTAAGCTAATTTTGCAACACTACCAGTAAGTAATTAGTATTCCTTTCATGTCAAGAAAAATATGACAAGAGGGTAAGCCACTCAAAGTCCAAAAATACTCTTCTAAGGATGCGAGTACTGAAATTGAAGACCTTTTGACTTTTAAGACTATGTTTACTTCACTGGATCACACTATTCCCTCTACATTGTTACACTTGTTAGTAGTTAGTAGGTACAAACATTGCATCTGTGATTGGCTTTCTCACTGCCATTTGGAGGCAGGAGAAAGGCCGTGATTTTAAAACAGTGTTTAATTTTATTTGTATGACAGTGTGAAACATTCATTTCCAACATTTTTTTGCCTGTGTTTCTTTTCAAATATTCTTTTCTAACTTTTGGCTATCTGTGGATCTTTCTGTGCAGAGTTTAAGGCAACTACTTGGAAGAGTTCTTTTAACGCAATGATTTTAATAACATTTTATGTGAAAAAGAATAACCTTTAACTAAAAAGTAACATAAGCGTACAAACTCATCTTGTTTATGACTTTTATCTGTCCAAAGCCTCAAAGTATTGATGGCTCCCCCTCCTCGACTCTGTTTCTGAGCCTAAACACAGTGTATTTATCCCACCTTTATAGGGAAGGAAGTGTCTTCTCTCAGTATAAAAGAGAAAGTGATTGTGCTCAGAAACTTGGATGCTTCTGTTAATCTCTTGACAGACACTATATTAATCTGAAAGAATCAATCCCGAAGATCATTTAAGATGACCTCTGATTTTTAAGTTAAATTACTTCGAAGAAATCTTCATCTGCCTTTCGGTAAATAAGGTATGCACATACTGCTGCAACTAATATTTTGCCCTGGAGCAGAGCATTCACATTTCAACTAGAAGCTCTGTAAGGCACACTACTTCATCTGTTTTTGATGCAAAAGACTCTAGAATGAAACAGTTTTTTGTTAGTCAAAAAGTTTACTTCTGGTTTCCTATTCTAAGCATTAGTAAAAGCTGAAAACCATACCCATTCATTTAAAAAAAACTAAACATATTTCAAAATCAAATTTCTATTTTACTTGCAAGATGATTTAAAATGAGATGATGAATTGCAGACTTCAGCTTGATAATGTTTGTTTCCTGCTCTACAAATTTTTCCTTGTTATTTACAGACCATTGGACACTTCCAATAGCATTTCAGACTTCAAAAACTGAATAATCTAATAAAATGTATAGGAGTGAAACATTTTTAAAACACAGAAGCATCTGTAATATTCTGTATAAAACCTAGCAAGATATGCAGGAAAAAAGACGCTATATGAGATTTCAGCTATGCATAAATACACAGAAGGATGCTTAAAACCGAAAGTCTAAAAGCACAAAGGTGCTTTTCTGAAGGCAATAACTATTTGCAAATCTCAAGTGTGACAAAATAAACAATAAACATTATTACATTCCTCGAGAAAGGATAGTATTATATGAATATGTATACGAAAATCATTAGGGTTTTTTAACAGATTAAGACATGTGGTCATGAATTGCATGACAAAACTCAGAAAGGGGAGATTATAAGAAAGTGACAGAAATCTCCCGCAAATTCTATGGAAAAAAAGTGATGTTGCAGAAAGACCTTCCAAATTCCTAGACACTTACATTTAAATACTGCACAGTGTACAGATTTAATTCAATCATATGCCTTTCTATGCAGTTCCTTTATTGATAGCCTCTTCTGTCTAGGTATGAGTAAGAAATACAGAATTTTTTTTTCCTACACAAGCAATCTGTGCAGATGAATTTAATCATTAGCATATTTATAGTTATTGATTTCATTGATGCGTCTCTGTAATTATCCTGCATTATATTTACCTTTCAAGTTTCAATGTACTTCATATTTAATGATTTTACACTAAAAAAAACCCAAACACCTTCATTACTGCACTGCTGTCTACTCTCCTCACCTTTTTTCCTTACAACATTTTTGCAGCTTCCTGTTGCTAAATTCGTCCATACACTCTTTGCGCAAAAAAGTCTAGGCATAATGTTCAAAAATGGTCTCCTGGTTCCCATTTACTCTACTGGGAACGATAACGGAAAGTATCTGTAACTCCACACTGCAGAACAATGACTTGATGCAACCTATTGGTCTATGTCCTTCAGAGCTTTCTTCCAACTAGAGAGAAACAAAATGTAGCATGGGGGCTAGCTAAATCTTCATGAATGGCTTGAAGTATGTCTTTCAGAGGGAGTCCTGAAGTAGGTGACTAAGGGTCATAACAAAGACATGTTAGTGAAAAACACATGACTTTCTTCCTTAGTTGTCAACTTACAGAATTCCTTCCTGCTGTATGTTAATTAGCACTAATCCTACTCCTAGTGGAAAAGCAGTCACTATATGCCTGAGGAGCGTGATCTTTCCTTTGAAAAGGTCATATGCATATCACAGAAAACTTACCTGTCTGACACACTCTATGTCAGAACAAAACCAATTTTGGTGAAGGGCTAATTTTTGTCTAATGGCAATTTATTACCATTTCAGCTTCTATCTAAACTGCAGTCTTTTTTGGCTCTAAAAAACACCAACAAACAAACAAAGCTCTCCACAACTTCACCATGGAACTGAACAAGGAAAGTCTAAACCTCTGAGAAATGTCATCAACAGCAAAATACAGACATTAAGTATTATAGTTATATAAAAAGTCTAGATATTACAGCCTCAGTTCCAATGTTGCTGTTGACAGTAAGACTCTCTAGTTATTGCATCAACCATTAAAATACTTCAACTGACAAATGGGTCTTTAGTATCTATGCACAGGTACCCCCAAGCCTAACAGTTATTATATTGATACAAAGTAAGTAAATTGACCTAAACCTTTTAAAAGTGCAGATAGCCTTAGAAAAGACCTACTAAGCAAACAGCTCATTTATAGTAATAGTAGAAGAACTATACAATAAACCCACTGTAAAAAGTTATATTTTACTTCCAAATAATGAAATGTTCTACCTGTGTACAAATGCTATTGCAAGGAAAAAGTTTGGTTTTTTTTTTTTTTATTAAAAGCTATTTAAAAATAGATACAACAAACAGTACCCAACAGGTACCTGTACTTACTCATTGCCCCAGTCCAGCCTCACTGTGAGGTGTCTCTTGACCTCTCGCACCTGATCCTGTGTCAAGTGACCTGACAGCAGCTGTCTACGTAGGTCAATGAGTTCATTCATCACATGCCGCAGTTTGTAGAAAAGATCTACCTTATGTTTCTGTAAAGGCATATTTTTGGGAGGAGAGGGGAAGAGAGTGAGAAAGAAAGAAAGAGAGAGAGAGAAGGGGGGCAGAAGGTGGGGAGAGAAAGAGGGAAGAAGAGAGATTAATAAGTTTGGAAAGAGAAAGAGCGTGAGAAAGAAGAAAGAGAAGGAAAGAGAGAAAGAGAGAGATATTAATAAGTTACCAAATTTTCATTTAGTTACCCTAGAGGAACATTAATCCAGTTTGTACAAGCTTTAAAATGTTTATATCAGAAAGTGTTAACTGATGCTATTTAAATTATATAACTTTTTATTTCTAAAGTTTAGGCTCTGCTAAGGGGTCCATCAATTATTGCAATCACGTAATAAATTCAAAGTTTTAGATTTAAAGTAACAGAGGCAAGAAAATTTTTCTGTCAGCAGCTAACTCAATGGCTTTGAACAGTCACCACAACAGAAAACCACTTTCAATATTTTTGATATTCTTATTACTAAATTCACCCAGGTATCTACATTAGATGGGGGGATATGAATATTCATTATCTACACTCCAAAAGGGACCAATTAATGATAAAAATGCACCTGCAAAACTACTTTAAGAACATGAAAATTACCATAGACAGTAACACACACCCTCCTCAGCAGCAAAAAAAATATCCAAACTACTAATACTGCAATCTTTTCCCAAAAGAACTAGTAGTCTTCAAATATCAAAAAAAACCCACCCCAAAACCAGCCCCAGAAAGGCTGAAGCTAACAAAAAAGGCCACCTATAAGTACCCATAATATAAGGAAGCATGTCCAAACTACTCCAACATCTGCTCGATGAGAACTGTGTGTCAAGGCAGCTCCTGTCTATACAGCCATGTCTCATACTGCATAAAATGGCCAATGTGCAATGAATGAGGATCCCAAGAAGGTTTTCAGTTGAATGCTGGGTTTTCTTGAACAACTAATCTCCATTCCTACCTGTATGCAAAGCCTGAAACATTTGAATCTCAGTTGGGGAAAACACTAACTGGACTGAAACTAAGACTTTGCAAGCTAGCATTGTCTCGATCACATTTCTGCCTGTAAACGAGTGTTTTATAAAAGATTTCTAAATAAAGATACCTAGGTTTATCAAGACTAGATATGACAGAGGAACTTAAGTGTTTTCTATTGCAACATATTATCAGAGAAAACATTTTTCACTTGCTTCACCAAAAACAGGTAAGCTGAGATGAAAAAAGAATTTCTATTTGAGTTTGTTTTTCTATGAGACCGCTAGATTTGCATGACTGGGGAAAACAGATTTCAAAATGCACTCCATTTTGATCAGCAATTTGTTAATTTCTCTGAACCTTGTTACACATCCATTTTGCTGAAGCAGGTTAAGCACAGATGGAATCATACACTGTTCTTATCAAACGAATTTGAGATGAAAATATGCACAATTTTTCAACTGTGCATCAACATTGGTTCTGGTCCTGCCTGAAAAAATGAAATATAAACATCAGATCCAGTAGAAAGACTTACATTTCCAGGGCTGAAAATACTCATTCTAGGAAGATAATAACGTATAGCTGGTAAAATGACTAGATTTATGTTTAGTCTTTTTCACTAAGTGTGGTCCAAAGCAAGTCCTATATAAGCTGAAGACAACAGTAGGTATAGGAAATAGCCATTTTTATATGCTATTGATGTGAATAGGAAAAGGCTGTAACTTTTTTCCTAACAGAAGATGAAGACAATGGAGTTTGGGACTATCAAATAAGCAAATTAGATATATCTATCAACAAAACAGCTGGCAATGAAATTATGAGAATCAGATCCAAAATCATCATATTAAGACTTCCCAAATAAAGCTGCTGAAAGAGCCACTCCCTCACTTTGTAACGATGGTTCAAGGCTATCAATGAATTAAAGTCTAGAACACTATGCTGGTTAAATTACTATATGTTCTGGAGTTCTTTTTACACAGTTATTTTTTATGTGAGTATCTGAAGAACTTACTTTAAACACAAATAAATGATAAATGAGATCGTAGAATACAATTTTCTAAAAGCTAGTCACATTAGGTCCTATGCAATTATCTGAAAAAAACCAAAAATCCTCAAACTCAAAGCTCAAACACCTCTCATGTTCCCTGATCATGACAATATGTCCTTTACAGCTTTAGTTCTCAGACTTATTCTTCAAAAAATATTTCATCTGCTTTAAACAGCATGAGCAACTACTGATAGACAGAGCACTAAACATATGGTGTCCTTTTCAGAAAATACAAGGTCCCCTATGAGGAAGGAAGAGGAGGTATCAAAAAGCAGACAGCCAGAGAAGCTGCAGCTGTGATTTCAGACAAACAGTTACTAAGTGAACCACAAATGCAAGACCCATGAAAGAGAAGGAAAATACTTGTGTGAGAGAAAGAAGAGCTAGAACAGAGTTGAAGGTAGCTTAAATTCAGGCTTGATGACAGTAAAGAGCTGGAAGAAGCAAACAACAGTTTACAACCCCCCTTCTCACACCACAGGAGCCTAGTGGCTAATAAGCTCCACCTGGGAGAGAGGGAGGGAGACGCAAGTATTTTAATGACTTTCCTCTGCCTTCTCTCTTTCCAGAAAAAAAGATTTTCAAAATACAACACTAAGCTAAGCTGCTCAGGATTCCTACCCCCATGTAAAGAAAACTGCTTAAATTGAAACAGATGATCTTGGACACTGCATTTTCAGAAAAAATAATTCTAAGCATTAGAACCATTCAAGCAATTTTAGTCAGAGTAGCACCATAAATAAACCCAAAACTTTATAATCATTTAATAGCTAAATAAAAAAATGCCAGTCAGTCCAATATGTAAGTATTCATTCTGTTTTACAGTACATTTTCATACCACCTATAACCTCTCATTTTTCATCTAGCTTTGTCACAAGCTACCAAGTAACGAGCACTTTATTAGTCTATCCAGGATGATCAGCTCTGCACATTTATGAACATATCTGGCAAATGTTTTACATCCAGAACACAAAAGTAAAATATTTATGTGAAAACTTTTATGGTAATAAATAAGGTGTGTAAGGGACAAAGCGTCTGGACAGCTTTAATGACTTGAGGACTGTCTTCTTCCAAGCAGAAGTCTGTCCTCTAGCACGTCTTGTTGCCTATTTTACTATCCCTAGATACAAATATATTTGCTGCGTTCCTTTGATCTGTTACTATTAACTAGTCCTGCTTCTCAGTGCTTCGATAACCTTCCTATACGCAGCTACACACCAAAAAGTGGAATTCTGGTATTTGTGATCTTTTTTCTTTTAATGACTCCACATTAACTCTATAGAGATCAAAAGTCAAAAGCCGGTTTTGGTGCTGTGGTGGGCTGACCTTTACCGGCTGCCAGGCCTCCACCCAGCCCTGCTCTCACCCACCCTCTTCAGCAGGCCAGGGAATAACGTGAAAATATTTTGGGGTTGCGACAAGGACAGGGAGATCACTTACTGATTACCGTGCCAGCAAACGAGATTTGACTTGGGGGAAATTTATTTAACTTATTGCTAATTAAAATAGAGTTGGGTGGTGAGAACCCCCTAAAATCCCTTGTCATCGTCGTCCCCGGCCCAACTTCCCTCCTTCATTCCCGACTCCTCCACCTTTCCTCCCCTCACAGCAGGGCAATGTCGGAGGGGGGTGCGGGGTGTGTGGTCAGTCCACCGCAGCTCCGTCCTTCTCCTCCTCCCGCTTCTCCCCTGCCCCAGCGCAGCCCTGCCCGCGGGCTCGTTCCCTCAGGACACGCCTGC